TTTATGTTTGACAGTGTCGTTGGCCATCGTCACATCTTTTGTTGGTCTAAGTTTGAATGGTTTCGTTCTAATAGAAGGTTAGAGGTACGTTCGTCGCAGGGAAATTTTGAAGAGGTCGCCAAGGGATTATTTTTTTGATATATGACACAGTAGCGAGCCAGAAAAGCAAGTACAATGAACGCCATAATAGCAAGCAGAGCCTTGAGTCGGATTTATTAAGGGTGCTGAAATATTTTTTTACCCTTCAATCTCGGATTTCGTACTTGTAAGTTTCAAGATTTTGTGCTTGTTAGAGGCTTGGGAAAAGAGCAGACACCCTTTCCATTTTACAATTGAGTAAGGAGACTTCTCCTGTGACTGTAAGTAAATTTATTATGCTATTCGACTAAATTTGAATTTACCCTGCAACAAGTAGGCGATTACAGTGTAAGGTACTTTGCATAAATGATTCCTTTATATCAAACAGCGCATTAGTAAACACAGTCAAACACGATTAACATGAGCATGCTTGAGATGAGATCGCGCTTAAGACAAGCATATTTCTTCAGACCCGTTCAAAATGTACACATTCCTATGAGAGAAAACTTACTTAATATGAGATATGACAAGACGAGAACACAGACAAGACGAGCACTTTTCAATTGTACTCATTTTAAAATGCCATGTACAATGTTTTTTGACACTCCGGTTAGGCAAAAGCGTCTTTAAAAGCTTAATCCCAGTAATCCCAGTAAGTAATTCCTGATGGAGTGCGTCAGTAGTTCCCCAAAAAATGCTAATCCACTTGGCAATTTGTACTGCAGTTTTGCAAATGATTACTTGGCGACTCTTTTCCTTGTGCCTCTAGAGGGGGCTTTATTCTAGACAACACTACATCTTGCAATGTCGCGGCAATTTCAACACCCACTTACGTCCAGTCCTTATATAAACTGGTTCTGAAATTAATTACTTACTTGCAGTGTCGGATACCAGTTTCCAGGGAGTGCTTTGCCATGCCGGGCTGCGCCGTGCCGCGTGCACATGGCGCAGGGTGGCCGGCCACTTACAACCTCTGTTCTCTGCTGTTGTGTCAAACAAGTAGGCGTATTCGAAATCATTGTTTTATTCATATGAATCATGATTATTAATATGATTTAGAATTTATTAACAAGTTAAAGGCTGTACATGAAATACTAATCCACTGCATATACATGTAGTGTATCGTACAGTACATGTAGGCCTGCAGTACATGTACATTTCCGTAGTGTATAACAATGCTTGCTGGTGCATTACACCAGGCTTGCGCTCTATGAATGGGATAAGTGTGAACACGTATAACACAAGGTTTACCGTAAGACGAGGTTTTTTGGAGAATCCCTTCGAGCTCGTATTAAGAGTGTTCGACTGTATTGACAGGATAAGGAACCCTATTCTTTGAAATTTGGCCTTAAAGTTACTCAAGTTTTGCACTTAATTGATCTTTGATTTAAGTACGAACAGTACGAACGGGAAACTGACTTAAATCTTTGCTGATTAATGAAGTTTTATTGAATGTGGATTGTTACAAATGACGAGATCTTTTACAGTTAATTAGTTGAATTTAATCACGGGTACGTTTGCATGCAGATGCACATAGTTCGCTGGTAAATGTTATGTTTAGATGGCCAACTAGAGTGGGGCTTGTGCTTGACTGTCCCGGAGGTTATCATACCGCTAAGGACTGAGAAACTGATCCACCAAGTCACAGGGACAACGCACCTGTTATCCAAGCAGCGGCTGAACCATACCCAGCTTGACGACTGGAGAACTCCGCAAGGGAGATCTAGCTTTTTCTTCTTCCACTTTTCCCCATAAACATAACATAGGGTCCTTGTACACACGACTCTTGCCTCTTCTTTTGGGCCAATCCCCTTCAAACCTTGCACACATACTTAGACTACCATCTGAAAATGTGTGCCAAATCATGACTTCATCATGATGTTATCACGTGATTTATTGTAGAATTTTGAATAGTTAATTTTTCCCCTGTGAACAAAACGTTCACATTTTTGAAACCTCTTTTGGGCCACTTGGCAATATTACACCTTCATCAAAGTTATACAAAGCAAAGCCTGGGACACCAAAAATGTACTAGAAGCATAACGTTGTGATGGCGTCAACAAGCACTTAAATGTTATTCATGCTAAATCTTCTAAAACCCACCAAAAATCAACTGTGACTTTCTGGAGCTTGCTTTTTTTAATACAAACCTACTTTCAACAGTCTTAGTCTTCAACACAATTGTAGTCTTCAAAACATGTACCGGTGATGTCTTTCAATACTTGAGTGCCCTCTGGCAATAGGTTGAAGTTTGCTGGAATTGGTTGGAAATTGGTAGATACAGTGACCTTTAGGCCTGTAATGTTAATGTGCAAACATTCGAGCTGATAATGTCATCAGACCTGAAGTTATAATGAAATGATCTTTAATTCAATACAAATCACTAAAAAGTCAATCCCAATAATTAGATTCTGAAGTTGCCCAACAAAAAATAGAGTAAATATCTGTATCCATTGTTCAAGGTGTTGGGCTTGTTGCATTGTTCATACATGCCTGTTTCAGGGCCACTATTTTGGCGACGTGCCAACCATGTGGCAGGGAAAGTGGGTGAGTGTGTATTGTCATGCTGTGGCAAATAGGCAGGAAGCTTCATTGCATTGAAAGGAACCAGCGTTTTAATGGCTGTATCAAGGAGGGTGGCGGTCCTACAGACCCAAATTTGAATCTGGCCCATTGTGTCCCAGTAAAAGCACTGTATCTCCAGAAGTGCATGTCTGAACGGGGTTGAAACTATGCCTGTACTGTAGTACATGCATCCACTTAAGATTGCTTCTTACATCAGCATCTGAGCTGGTGCTAAATGCACATTTAAGACCTGCCGAGCACTTATTTATTCCCTTCTTAGTATACTCGTACAATGCATGTGTATGGAATCAGAAAAGTTTGGAGATATTTTCATTGTTGATCTAAAAAAGTACGGTAACCGGTCTGTAGCTGATCAAATCTGAAGTACAGTAATACGTTGGGTAAGGGCAAAACCTGTTATATAAATTAACATTTCCCAAAGCAGAAAAAAAATACATCTTGAAATAGTTCGCGGTACCTGCAGCTTCACCTGACTTGGACCGGCCAGCTGACCCCGGCAAGTTTGGTGGTCGAGTGGTCAAGATATCTGCACTAGTAAGCAGAAGGCCGTGGGTTTGAGTCCCACCCGAGTAAGCTTGTGAATTTTTTTGCAAGCTCTCGGACAAGCACTGAGCATACAGTGTTTATCAATATATAGGTTGGGTAAGGGCAAAACCCCTTATATAAATTACAGTAATTGTACAGTATTCTTGAGTGCAATCATAATAATTGAATCAGAATATTTATAATATGCAAGATCTATCTTGATGAGGTGCGTGAAGTGCAGGGAGAAAGGAGACGAGAACAGATTACAAATGCACATCATCTGCAAAAACAGCAATAAGTATACAGATAACAGGAATTACATGTAAGTTGTAAAAGCTGTGTGAAAAAGATGGGTCTTAACTCTTAAAACATATTAACTCTTGGAAAGTGGAAATATCACATTTTGAGGAAGTTTGCTCCATAACAAAGGTCCAGCATGAAAAAAAAAGTACTGTCCGCCGAAGATTTCTGTATATGTAAGGTATATGTTGTACTGACAAAAAGAAATATACTGGTAGTATTTTTCTAGGAACCTGCCCCGACCCTTCAAAATCGTCACTGCAGGAAACTAGTGACACTTTCTTTGAATTAACTTTCAAGAAGCCTCAAGTTACCGGCGCATTATGTAAGGAAAGAATGGCCGGGGCTTTACCTCCCAAATCCTGCAAATTCTACCAATTTTCCTGATGAAGTTTGAAGGATCTGGGAGGATCGGAGGTGGAGGTAAAACAGACATATTCGTTGTGAATAATCCTAATTTTGCCAGCATTTCTAGCAAGGTGAAACTACTGTACATGTACTTTAGTTTGGCTATTACCAAGATCTATTGCCAAGATCACTGTATGTGTATTAGTTGACATGTGGTGTGTAGAGTGTTGGGGTCAATTCCCAGTACATGTAGGTATTGATACAGTACATGGAATGGTTAAATACCCCTGTGTTGACTGTGAGGAAATAAAACCAAAATGACCTAGTCAAAATTTTCCACTTGAATGTGACAGGAAGATCCCTTAAAGTCATAGATTTATTTTGTATTGATGTTAACCTTGTTATATCAGTGTATAACCCGTCAAGATCAAGGAGTGATGGTGCTAATATACATGTACATGTATGTGTTTAAGGGCCCTGTCGGGTACAGAATAAAGGAACCCCCTGCTAAAAAAAACATGCTTTTGTGACAACTAAAATTGAACTTTCATTTGCTGGTATTTATTTTTTTGTGAAGGTACATGTATGCTAGAAAAACTAAAACTAGTGTAATATATAATGGGCAATCTGTGTTGGGTAGAATTTATTTAATGAACCCACTGTCAAACTGTTATTGGTAAAAACATGTATCAGATTTCTATAACCTTTCCGGAAAGAACTTCACTGGTAACCTTTCTTGACCTGTAACCCTTCTAAGATTTTGATGTGACACAAGCAAGCTGGCTTGCAGTCAAATGTACAAAATTTGTGGTAATACGTGTACAATTACACGTATGTGTTTTGTACATGAACCTGCACATGTGTCACAATGGGGCTTACATCAAGTACTGTTAAACTATCTATTGTGAGTGAAACATTACATAAATGGAGTTTTCTGGCATGAGTTTTGATGTGCCATTGCTCTGTAGTTTCTAATTTATATAAAGATTCTACAGCATCGCATTTGATCCAACAAGAATGAGCAGTGCTTTACTCTTTCAGATCAGGTTCACCTAGTTGATCTTCAATGCAATTATATAATCAGATATGTTTCAAAGGAAAGTTGTTTAGTGTCATAAAATGTTGACATACACACATTTTTTTTTTAATCATACCTGTATAAGGCCAGACAACGAGGTCACTTTATGAACGAGAGGGAGAGTTTGTTTGGAGACACTTTTTCCAGCGGTAGTTATTATTCCTCCAGCTCTATTGACTCTCGGCCCATCACACCACCGCAGGTGCCTGCACAATTGCCACCTTTTGTCAAGGTATGTTGTGTGAAGTGTGTAACGAATGAGAAGAAACCACTTTTTGTAATAGCTTCAGTGATCTTACTACATATACGGTGTACATAAACATTGTCAACAGCTTGTCTTAGTTTAGTTTACAGATCAAACTTATGACAGGGAAAAGTAACCTTAAATTCTTGCTGCCGAGAACCCCGTTTTGAGCATCATGGGTTTATACGCAGAGCTGGGGTGCCCGAAATGAGACAAAAGAGCTGGTTCATGTAACAAAAAACCGTACTCGGAACAAAAGACCTGCTGGGAATTGCCATCATTTTTCAGCTTGCATTTTTTGAAAGTAATTTGTCACTTTTATATACTTTTATACAGTAAACCACTGTTTTGGGCATAACGCGCCCACGGATTAGCACCGCAAACAAAATATCTCCAGGGCCCCATTGATGAGCGACACAGCACTGCTGCATGCTAATCCAGCCGCGTTTGAAAAGACGCCACTCGCATTCACTGGGGACAAAGGAAATTACGCAACACCTCGCAATTCTGGGCTCTCTTTACAGGGTGGCAGGCCTGGCTGAAATATTCAGGAGTCAGTGAAGGTTACCTGTCAACTTAGAGTAGCCACCAAACAGTCATTTGTGTGGGTGTAAATGTCCATTAAATGAAATGATGAATTTTTCAAAATTTTGAAAAATGAAAATCTTGAAAATCGCCCGTGTATGTGCACTGTATTTTTAAAAGCACCCTGCAGCATGTAGATTTAAGTAGCAAAATTTAATTCATACAATGTGATGCATGTGATTTTTGCTTTCTTTTCTTTAGAAATTAGTGTTGATGCATCATTGCATTTAAGTTATTAAATCACAGTGGAGAACAAACCAAAGATAATAAATTGGATTTGTCCTCAAATTATTACATGTACATGTACCAAAGGTAATCAAACCATACACAGTACATGATATGATAATACAGTTTGTCTGATTCAGCGCTTTGTCCCATTGCAAGTCAACAGTTTAAATTTACATTCTACATGTATATGTAAAGCTGTATTTGTGTAACTGTTGACCTCTACAGATGACCTCTGACCCTGATGATTGGTCCAGTGGATTTGACCTCAAACAGATCAATGAAGACACCAATGGGCTTCCAGATTTCTCAATGCCTGTAAGCAGCATCTGTACAAAACTCCAACAAGACTATACAGAGAAAACTAATGAGTTCACATACAACATCAACAAATTTCTTCTTACAGTAGTTTTTAAAGATCAATTTTTGTGGAGCCTACATGTGGTTGTTTCCTAGCTCAACAGTTTGGCCTCATCATTATGGGGCATTTTTTCTGTCATGTTGGATAATTGGCTAGTTTCCCTTGTTCCATTTTTGGCTGCCTTTGTTTTGAGTGCTGCACATAGCAATTGGCAACCAAACTTGCATTTGGTTATACCGTTAAGTTCCTGAACAAGTTGCATTCAAAGGCAGGTTTTATTGAGCCTGATATTTCCTTCAATTGTTACATTTTCAAGAAAATTTTGTGTCTGGTTTAACTTTGTCTCACCCTGCCAGAATTATAAATAAGCAGAGAAAGACAAGTGTGGACAGTTTCACATTCTATGTACGTAACTATTATTGTATGTATGTGGTTTATACAGTGTACACTGCAATATGCTTTTAATATAGGATTTGACATTCGGTTCAACCCCACCCTTGCTGATGAGACCCTCATCAAGTGGTCACATGTCATCAAAAATCACCCCATCAAAATCAACACTGCAGTCCAATCACAAAACAATCACTGTAGATGTGCATCACCATGAGGAGCCTTCCAGCAGCCAAGGAGGGAAGACTAGCTCTGAGGGGATTTATAGTGGGTCTGTCAAGAGCCCAAGTGAGGACAGTGGAGTTGACCTACAACTAAATGGAAGTACAATTAGTAGAAGAAATGGGGATCGGTGAGTTTATAATATTGTTCGTTTTACCAAGGTCATCTTTGACATGTTATTTACAAATTCAAAGATTCGGTTTAGGATTATTAAAAAGGTGTAGTCCATTGTTCATTGGTAGGAGTAGGACTGGCAACATTTGTTACTAACTCCTATATGCACCCCAGATGATATAAGTTTTCCTTTGTAGAAAAAGGAGATCCTTGTTTGCATGTACAGTGGACTCTTGGTAATTTGAGCACGGATAAGATGAGATTCTGGTGAAGACAAGCATATTTCGCCAGTCCTGACCAAAGTTTGTAATGCACATTTGTATGTGGGAAAAAAATCTTTAATACGAACATGAGTGATATCAGATTTCAGTTCAGTAAGACATGTACTTTTTTCCGGTCAGGTCAAGTGCAGTTGTATTATCTCTTTTAAAGGGTATTTATGGGCATTTTCATACTGCCCGATATGAATGAACACAAAGGACAGTCCTCTTCCTCTGTGGTGTTTATTAATTTTCTTTGTTCTCGATTATCATACATGTTCTAGTATAACAATTCTTATTCATTATAATAATGATTCATTCTACATGTACATTCTACTTTCACAAAGAACATGTTCGCATTGTTATGAAAGCAACTTCATGACCTGTCAACAGTAGTATGTTCAACAATGACACATACAAGTGGGAAAATACTTTTCGCTTAATAAGACGAGGTTCCGGTTCGGAATAATACAAGATACTTCAGTAAGTCCCAAGGCCCTTGTATTAATGAGAGTCAACTGTACATGTACGTAAAGAATCTTTTTTTGCATGGTGGAGGACCCTACTGTGCTTTGCACTTGTCACACACAGTTGCTTCCATCCCAGATCCTTACATGTTCCTCCCAACCCTGCTGTCGCTTGCCTATTTAGTGCATACAAGAATCATCTGATCATTGGCATTGCAGAGTGTGGTACATGTACATTTAGATGAGATCTGAAAGACCAAGACCTGCAGGTCCCACCAAGACTAAGTCTGGACTGACTCTCTGTAAAGTTTAATATATACAATGTAGTTTTAAATCACAATCACTGTGGCTATGGTAGTGCTAACCGAGATTCCCTTTACCTTTGTTCTTGCATATAACCTTCCTTGGCTTGCTTGTGTGCATGATAACTGTCCATTCTACACCACCCTGCTTCACAAATGACACAGCTACAAGAAAAGGTACATGTACATTTGTACTACACCTGAGGGATTAGAAACCAGTGTCATGTAGCACTTGAACATGTTGCAAGGGATCTTTACGAAAATATTTTATGAAGGAGCCATGTACAGTTATGTTACTACATGTACCGTTTGGTTGTTCTAAGTCTTTCAAAAGTTGTAAGCTTATTCAGTGGGATGTTTGAAAGGTTAATCATTGTATTTTGTCAGGATACATTAAGAATATTATACAATAACTGCAGATTTTTCTAAATCCATTGTACACTTAAGTTGCATGAGCTCATTTGGTGTCATATTTTTGAATCTTTGGAGAGCATACTGAGCACCTGAAGTAAAGACAAGTTGGTTTACCAGAATTGGAAGCCATTGCTTGATTACCACACTTGTGTACAGGACCTGTTACATGTGTACATGTACCACTTTGGCCACTGCCAATACAGTGATGCTCTCTCCATGGATTAGTCTATTTCATATTCAGACAGTGAGGAGCATGGAATCTTGAATATTCAGAAAGTGACTAAAATTGTGGGTATGTTACATCTGTGCTCAAAAGAGAATTCACAGATTTTGCATGTAGAACTCTTTACCATTTCCATCAACATTATGTTGCAGCGTGACAATATCCCCCATCCCACCAGTCACCATCCATAGCCCAGGAAGTCTGAGTGACATTGAAAGTCCTATCACCTCTGTGGGTAGCCCCCAGTCTGCCAGCAGCCCTGAGCCTCCAGTAGTCAGGCAGGACAGACCACGCCGATCACTGTCTAGGAGGCTGAGTCTTGATAGCCAGTCAACAGAGGGATCATCTGTTGCTGCTGTGAGTTGGCAAATAACATGAAAATCAGAACTTTGATATTTGGTTCATTTGCTTTCATACTACCAAGCAGTTGAGAGACAAACATTAGTCATCTAGTCTCACCAAGTCTCCAGCTTTGGAAAGGAATCATGGCAAAGACATTCCTTTTCAGTGCTCAGTCCCTGTTACCTCAGTACTTCTTGCTAGGCTTACTGCCCGACTTATGATTAGACTTACGATTGATCGTGGTGGGGTTACACTTCTGCTAGCAAGTTCTGATTAATCCCTGAGGGCCGAGTGTGAATATCTATTCTAGTTGAAGCACATCTGTATAAAGCTGTTCAGAGAACCCACACATAGAAGTGGATGTGTTCCAATGCTATAACACGTCCATTTCTGTTGATGTGTTAATAGTAATGAAATTTACACAGTTCCTGAATTAAAGCGAGAAACTATACTCATAGATTAAAACAAATTGCAATTTTACATTTGCAAATTGCACAGTAGATCTCCCATATAAAACATGCCAAAACTTTTACAAAATGTCTAAATCAAGGTAATCTTAAAATGGGTATCCAATGTTTCAACAGGTTTGTTGTGGTCTTTCTGCATTTTTTGTTTGATGTTTATATGGATTTACATTTGATTTTCAGTTGGCAGAGGTCCCGAGGAAGTTGAGTTGTAGCAATAGTGAGCACAGCATCCCACGAAGAATCAGTGATCCAACACATGTAAGGCACTTTTTGTCTCTAGGACGTAGCATTAAATCTTTAGTTTAGTCTTTAGTTTAGCAGAGCACAAGACTGCGGTTGCACTGAATAACTGGAGCAGTCGATCCCTGTATTGACATCCTGCCCAAACCTTACTTGTCCTGTGTTCACATTTTAAGGAAAAAATTAATGGTTCTTCTGGTGTTATGAAAATCTACAAGCTATTAGTGAATGTAAATTAGTAAAAAGACCAACAAATTTTCTCGAATGCAACGAAGAAGTCAAACAAGATCACACTGATATAAAGAGCAAAAAAAGTGTGATTTATCGGTGAGAACATTGAACATCTATTCAGCACTAGTGTACAGTGATGAGGTTATGCCTAGTGTTTAATTTAGGAAAGATCTAACATGATATTAATAAGATTTCACAGGCGAGGACTTGAGAGGCTTTGCAATGAAGGATGACTTCATGGATGGTGAACTCAGTCCTTGGATGGTGCACATGAGTTGGGATGGGGAGGGGAATCACCTGTAGTCAACAGTTGGAAATAGACAAACAGTGAGGGATGTGAGTGTGGGAATGAGAAACTACAATAATTAAATAGGGGTGGGTATTTCTGGGTATTTTTGGAACTGGGTACCCCTTTTTTTGTCAACATAGGGTACCTCGATACCCGTGAAAGAGAACACTTAATAACAAATGACATTACGCACAACCCTGGTGGACAATGTGCCCGAAACAGGGCTCTTTTTTTGTACAAAGGAAGCAAGCTGCACATTGTTCTAAATGTCGCTGTCAATCTCTCCTACCTTTTCATCAAATGATACTGTTACCTTCAATTTGAAAAATCTTCTTTTTGTAGGTATGTGAAACGGAAAAACCAAATTTTTCACAACGAACATCAGAACAGATGACTGAGCTGCAAGCCACCCATGTATTTTTACCATCCCAAGGAAATGTCCCGGATGCTGCACGACCATGTACATGTGGAATGCATGTGCACAAATGGTGACCACTGGTCATATTATGTGTGGACCATATCAATCCTACATACGTCACGGGTTATAAAAGGCTTTTATGTACAAAAATACCTCTGTCACTCGAACACTGCCCACACCACTAAATCCACTTATTTTGAAGTTTCTGATTCAAAAAAACTGCCACCAAGATGTTTCAAATGGTGTTGAAAGTATCGGAAATCTATATAGGGTTAGGAGATGCATCACTGCCTGGTACATCTCTTTTCTCACGGGGACTGGTTGTATGCAGGTTGCATAAACCAACGTTACCTAAAACCGCAACAAATCCTGGCTTTCAAGCTACTGAAGTTAACCTGATTGCTACTGCAGGTCCAATTGTAGTCCCTTCAGGTTGTCGGCAGAGGTGTAAAATCTCTGCTGTTTAGCGGATTTCCAGTTTTTTATTGAAAATACTGAATTTCATTTTCTGCTTTTTAGCTATCAACGGGCAAGATTTCCTTGTCTTTCTTCCTTTCGCAGTGTCGACTTTTCCTTTTTTTTTTCCTCTTTGTATCGACGCGATAGCCAGGCCAAACCAAACCAACATAGAACAGAACTGGAGCGCCATAATAATGCATGTGACTGAATCTACTGTACAGTACAACGTACATATGCACATGTACATGTAGGCCCCATATGTACGTGCACACAGTGTATACAGATCTGTGTGTAAGTTACAAATGCAGTCATTCAAGCATACATCAACAGTGTGGCCGCCTCAGAAGACAAAACTCCTTCGGCCTCTTGTTCATAGGTTTGGTACCGTCGTTTACCTAGTTCCACATCACAAAAATTATTCTGTAAGATCGCAGCTACAAAAATCCTCAAATTCAAGTGAAATATGATCAGAAGTCAACCTTGTGTTTTGGAGATACCTAAATTTGGACGCACAGGATCGACAAAAGTGACGACGACACCTATGGATCAGTTTCAGATTGAGACAAAAACTTCTCCACGAATAAAAAGTAATTATGCGAAAAATCACTTTGTCAGCCAGAACCACTGTAAAAAGTTGCTTTCCTGGTGAATTTCTTAATTTTTAGAAAATTAGTTGAAAAATAAGAATTTCAGTGAATTAAAAAGTAGAAATTGCGTAAAGTTTGACTTTTCAGTTGTACAAGGAGCTATCAATGGTACTCTCCCCTGCGCTGCTCAGTAGACAAACCCATTACCTCACATATGTTTCTGCTACGCCTGTGTAGTTGAGTTTGCAATAGACCTGTGTGTATGTAACGCCGTGCGATCCAAAAGTAGGGGGAAAAGCTTTCTGTTTTTGGTCAATTTTAGAAAAAGGAAACTCTAAAAGTAATTTTTATCAAACAGACATTAGATGCAAAAGTTTATTTGACTGTTCAAAATAAAAAGTATTTGAAATCACACCTAGTGAGTGACCTATTGCTCTGTAAATTTTTGTCATTTTTTTTTTCACTCTCGTGAACAAGGAAAAATCTGGAACTAGGAAATTCACTGTAGAACAACGAGCCAAGTGGATAACAAAAATAGTGTTGATTTCCAAACCGCAGTTTCATGTAAGAAAAGCTGGTGGGCGATTTTTCATGATTTTCCATTTTCAAAATTCTTCAAAAATCCATATCTTCATTGAACTTGATGTTCACACTCCCACCAATGACTGTCTGGTGGTTTCTCTGATCTGACAGGCAACTTCCCTGTACGCCCGATTATTGCAGCCACACCTGCTGCCCAGTAAAGAACCCCCATTGTGCTGTATTGTGTAATTTCCTTTGTTCTTGTGCGATGCCAGATGGAGATGTTGTCTTTACTAATGCAGCCAGATTCCATCAATGTGCAGTGGTATTGTATCGCTCATTGCTGGAGTGCTGGAGGGCTCTTGTCCCAACTGATAATCTGCTGGCACTGGCAGAGGCAAACAATGGTACTGTTTCAAAACAGTGACGGATTACCTCCGCTAACACCAGCACTCCGTGCTGACATGAACCTTGATTGACCTTGATTGGCAAGTCCCAGCAGTTCGATCTTTTGTTATGAGTTCAGTCTTTTGTTACGAGGCCCAGTTCTTTAGTTCGAGTTCAGGCAACCTGCCCACTTTCGGAGGAACAATTTAACTGCTTTGATTAAATATTCATTTTGAATGAATTCCTTTTTCTGTTCTTTCAGCATGTACCCCGAGAACAAAAGAGAAACATCGAACAGAATAAAAAGGCCAGTGAAACCTTGCTGGCACTTAAGAAACAACCTAGGATCAAAGCCACTCTCACCAAGCCAGCAAACGCACCCCCTCCTCCCCCTTCCCAATTTGCTCCATCTCCATCATCCAGATCCAGTACTCCACCTCCCCCGCCACCTATTCCAGCCCCACCTCCTCCCAAAGGAGACCAGACCAATCAGAGGAGTGCTGTGCGTCCACCACCTCCACCCCCACCCCGGCAAGGCTCAATGATAACAACTCGGTCAGCCCATGAACATACACTGCAGGACCATCCTAGTACATCACAAACCCTAGAGAGCAGTAAGAGGACATCACATAGTAATGGCCACTCTAATGCTAATGGGATGATTGAACATGTAAGCAGCATCCATGTTTCTTTATCACAGGGAAACAAATTAAAAATAACCCATTTCTCTACTCGCCAAACCAAATGACAGGAATTTCATTTGCTGGCTCCATGTAGAAAAAATACCATTTAATCCCAAAGCTTTTAACCAAGCATTTTACCTAAAGATGCAGCAACCAATCGGCCTCTTCTCAATAAATGCTGAATGACGCAATCCCATCACTTTAAGACGTTTAAGAAAAAAGAGTAGATAAAATGACATACATATTCAATTTATTCAATTATGTCATAATTTCAGGTTCCAGATGAGCCTTTGGACATGACCAAGAGGTCTCAATGCCCAATAGTCAATGTTAATGATGAATTCCCTGAGGGTATTGAGCTCATTAGTGTGAGGAAGACCAAACCAAACCTGGGAATTGCTGTAGAGGGAGGAGCAGGTACCAGGCAACCCTTACCCAAAGTCATCAAAGTCCAGGTGAGACTTCATGCTGCATCAAGCAAACTAAATCTAAAAAATCACCTTTCAAGATATGCAGCATCTATTCTCAACGCCAAAAAGACTTCTTCTTTCACACTTTTCTGTGGTTGACTTCTTCCATGAGGTATGCACATGCTGTTTCCCTTGCTTTTTCTTCCTTTCCTCAAGAATACCTTTATAGTCTTCTGCTTTCAACCTACCCCAAACAGTCGCTAAATATGTAAATTCCTTTGTGTCTGATTCAATTCACTAAAACGTCTGATCAACCGTAATGCGCCCTCTAGTCCCATGATGCATAGCGGAATGGCCGCCATGTTTGTCCTTCTTTTCCGTAGCGTGATTCTAAATGGACCCTGGGATTGTTGGGGGTTCCTTGAGGCAGTGCAAGCAATCTAATACCATGGTCCCCCTCTTTCCTTGGTAAATTTATAGGGTCAACATGGTGACCCTGGGTTTGTTGGGTTTGTGAGGAAGTGCGAGCGTTCCGAATTCAGCAACCCTACATTCCCCTTTAGACCGACAGGATTGGGTCTGTGAAGAATGGAGTGGTATCTTGTTAAACTTGTGATCCCGCTGCTAATCCCTGCTTGCAATACCATATTTGGTTCAGTTCAGGGTCAGCCCATGCCATGCTTCAAGGGCCTGAGCTGCAGTGCATGCGATATTCGTATGCTCAGTTCCCCAACATGACACCGAAGCATCACAGTCAACGATAGTGCAGAGTGACGCTGCACTTGGGGTTGAAATTTCTCCTGCTAGCTGGGTCTGGGCGCAACACTTCTGCATCTCAGTTCCTAAGCATTCCGAGCAGGTAACGCGGGCCAACAACAAGCTACCGTGGGCGACACCCGAGATCGGCACGGCTCACAAGTCTACGTGCTGGAGCAGCCCCACGCCGCCAACGCTAGCTACACATCACGCATCACCCTTGGTGCCATTGTCTTCAGACACCCTTTCAACTGGGGCACCCAGCTGTGACAAAGAAGCTGACGCTCAATGGGACAACACAACGCTGCTCTCCGGTGCGGTACCTGCAGAGACAATACCGTGCCATCTGGGCTCACCACCACCCATGCCCCGGGGACAACAGAGCCCACCGGCCTCCTGCACCGTCAGGTTTTTTGATCCCCCGTATGCCACCCCATCTTCCGGCTACCTTCTGGGCCTTTCTGAAAAGACTGCTTCTATCTCTGCAGTTTACCAGCCCTCGCCTGCTGTATCTTTACTGCAGCCTGCGCAGGCCTCTGATGCCCCAATTCACCAGGTGTCGACCGCTGGCTCTACAACCAGTTCACCGGTACGCAAGAAACGCAAACATTCTTTGTCTTCTTCTACAGGGTCTAAGCGTAAGAAGTCTCACTCATCACAGAAGGAAGATGCATCGGTCGACATCAAGTCAGCGGTCCGCATGCTCTTGGAGAAGCTCTCTTCTATAGCTAGCCGTCTCGAGCCCAACTCTGCTCCAGCGGCGACGGCCCCAGATCCGGACCCTTTGCCGGCGCAACCTGATCCGGATCAGCATCCACATCTGCATCCGGATCCGCATCCAGATCTACATCCGAATCTGGATCCGCATCCACATCCAAACCTGCATTCATCGGTGATCCGATCTTCATATGATGGTTTCATCCCTTTGACTTATCCAGGTTCCAACGCAGACTACAGCTTACCTCCTGCTCCGGCCCCTGGCCACCTAATTAGACATGATGACATTCCTCTTTCCTTGGATCAACCCCAGATGGAACAGGATACGTCCTCTGAAGATGAGGATATCTCCTCTGCAGCCATTCTTAACCCTCCTGAGGCACGGCTCCATCTTCTTCAGAAGGATATGATCCACATATTAGGCCTGCCTTCCAATCTACGGCTGAGGCCTCTTCACATGCTTCCTTCAAGCACCAACCCGCTAGGTTGGAGGCATCAACGCTGATTTTTCCCTAACTTCCACTTGACCGCTCATGCATTGAGATGTTTAAAGTTTTCGTCGGTGCCAAACGATACTCTGGACCTGGCAGCTGTCGCACTTTGAGCGCTCGACGAGAACGTCAACTTTATCTTCGAGCAGTTCATTTAGATCTCCGTTTTAGCCACTTCAGCATGCAGATCCAACACTTTAGACGCCATGAACATTCCCTATGAGGGAGTCAAGTCCAGACTTCAGGAACTTCCTCTTTATGGCAAAGACCTTTTTGCGGGGAAGTTCATGGAGAGGAGTCTGAAGTTAAACGTATTGACATAATACATAAACTTAGGGCGTTTTCAAAAAGACTTGAAAGATGCTTACCTCCACATTCCGATTCACCCACGAAGCTATGAATACCTATGCTGCCTATACAACGGAAACCTCTCCCCTTCAGCCTCTCCACTTCACCGAGAGTGTTCTTGAGGGTGCAGAGATCATCGCCACTCACCTTTGAAAGCAGGACGTCATGCTGTTCCATTACCTGGACAACTGGCTGATCGTTGGCAGATCGTTCAACGAAGCAGAGGTTTCTACCTGCCTTACTTGCAATGTCACAAATCAGCTGGGCTTCATCATCAACCACGAGAAGTTGAATCTTGCCCCAACGCAATACCCGACGTATCTAGGGCATCTATCGACCTTCAACAAGGCATAATCTCACTGACGACCGAAAGCATCGACAATCTTCTAGACTACATGAAAGTCTTGTCTACTGAGCAGTCTCTTAGCAGCAGTGATCCGGCCTGCATCTAGTTCTGTCTCCTGGGCTTGATGGCCAGCATGGTGGATCTCATTCCCCTCTGCAGGCTGTACATGCGCCTACTACAACTCCATCTCTTAGCACTCTACAGGCCAAAATGGAACTCAATCAATCTCCAGGTCCCCATATCAGACTTCATCTGCCCCCCATCTGCAGTGGTGGTTAGTGAAGAAGCACCTCTCTCTCAGAGTTCCCTTCCCCAAGGTGAACCTGGAAGTAACTGTAACATCAAATGCTTCTCATCTGGGCTGGGGAGCCTCCCTACTGCCACTTCAAGCATCGGGAACATGGGACCTTTAGCTCCAAAGGAGTCACATCAATATACTGGAACTTCAGGCTGTATTCAACTGAAAGCTTTCCACCGAAGCATCATAGGCAAACGGGTCCTCATCCGCTCTGACAACTCCACAGTGGTGTCATACATCAATCGCCAGGGAGGCACACCTTCTCCCCGCCTATGCCTCCTGATGAGACAGATATTCCTTTGAGCCCAGGATTATGGCATTGGCCTCTACGTGACTCACATTCCTGGTGTCAACAACTCCATAGCAGATGCTCTCTCTCAGGGAAAGGTACGTCCCACGGAGTGGACTTTGCACACCAGTGTAGTTGAACAGATCTTCACCGTAGTAGAAAAACCGAACATCAATCTTTTTCACCTCGGCAGAGAATGCCTAACTGCCAGTTCTGCACCAGATTTCACCACCCACAAGCCTTGGCAACGAAGGCTCTTCAAATCAATTGGGAAGGGATGTTGGCCTACGCTTTCCCTCCAATATCCCTCATACCAGCAGTTCTCTCCAAGATTGAAAGGGAACGCTGCCGCGTCCTTCTCATCGTCCCCTTCTGGCCACGCCAGTCATGGTTCCCACATCTGACGAGACTTCTCGTTCGGGTACCGGCGATCCTTCTCGACAGACCGGATCTGCTACATCAGCGGAAGTCAGGTGTGCTTCATCCAATGTCACTTCACCTGACCTGTTGGCTATTGTCAAACAGTCCTTCAGATCAGCAGGGCTTTCTGACACAGCATCTATGACTCCAGATTACGACATTTTACTTTGTGGTGTTCAGAGCGAGGTTTTTATCCATCCGAAGTTTTTGTGACCTCTATAGCTGACTTCTTCATGCACCAGTTCTTCATGCACCAGATCTGTGGGTTTCAATTATCCATAACTACCAGTCAGCCATTGCGGCTATACACAATGGTTTCCCAGATGGTTCGACTGTGTCCAACAATACTGCTCTTAAACATCTACTTCGGGGAATTTTCTTGAGCATCCCCCAACTAAGAGACTAATTCCTTCATGGGACTTGTCAGCTGTCCTCCAACTGCTTGCTGGTCCTCCCTTTGAGCCTCTCAGCTACACATCGTTGATCAACTTATCGGTGAAAATGGCATTCCTGCTGGCAGTTACTACCGCTTGGCGCGGCAGTGAACTGAAAGCATTGTCCATCACAGATGGCCACATCGAATGGGAACCTCGTGGTGTTGGTCTCATCCCAATACTTGGGTTTCTCACCAAGAACCAGTCAGTTTCCGTCCATCCTCCTGACATTTTTGCACTAGACATTACCAATCACACTGGACTCCTGATGACAAACCATGGTGTGCAGTGCGGACTCTTTAATGGTACTTGGCCAAAACAAAAAAACTCAGAGGTACAACTTCACAGCTTTTCATCACTACAATAAAACTTCACCGAGCTGTGACCAGAGATACTATAGCCAGATGGGCAGTTTCAGCCATCAAGTTTGCCAACCCAGAGTGGCCGAATTCTGTGGACAATGAAACACGACGCCTCATCAGGGCTCGTGATATCCGAGCAGTTTCACATCATGGGCCTACTTCAGGGGCATACCAAGGAGGAAATATGTAAGGCAGCATGCTGGAATACCCCATCTACCTGCACCACATGCTACCTCACCGATGTTCCACAGAAGGACCCCGCACATGGCAAAAGGGTCCTAACATTGGCCACATCGATGCAGAAGGGTACCTCATCAAAGCAGCCTACCTCTGGAACGACATAACTCCATTATTTGGTGTCTGCAATAAATTTGGATAAGTTCTTATTCCTCTGGCATTCTCATCATGTAGTGCGTCCTCGCCGAATTCCCTTCCAAGGGCTTGCTGCTACTCTGCATATTTAGCGACTGTTCGGGGTAGGTTGAAAGCAGAAAACTCCTTCCCCTCAGAAATGTGGGTGAGGTCTGCTATTTTGTATACCTACCCCAAACAGACAGCTCCCTCCTATCCTTCCCCCTTTTTTGGGCCGAACAGTTTTAATACTGGAAAAGGACGAACATGGCGGCCACCCCGCTGTAATGGGACTAGATGGCGCACTATGGTTGATCAGATGTTTTAGCGATTTGAATCAGACACAATGCAATTTGCATATTTAGCAACTGTTTGGGGTAGGTATTCAATAGCAGACCTTACCCACATTTCTGTGGTGGAAGATAATTAATGCAGGTCTATCTTGTTAAATGAGTTAGAAGATTGTCGAAAATGAATCTGGTCTAAGATCAAAAAAATATTGATAAGGCATGGCTTCCAAGAGCAATGACTTTAAATCCAAGAGGTTAATGTGAAAAGTTAATTCAACAGTTCTTACTGCTTAGTTACATATGTTTGACCTTGTTTTAAATGCTTTTTTTCTGCCACAGTACGGTGGATCTGCATATCACAACAGTAACCTTAAAGTTGGCCATGTGATCCTGAAGGTGAATGGGAGGTCATTACATGGTCTGACTCATCAGCAAGCAACACGCTGCATTGCGGAGGCCTTCAAGAACAAAACCAACGATGGCATCAACTTTTTGGTTATTGACTCTAACAGATACTTCGTACAGTACTAGTGCAGAGGCAAAGAGTTGCATGAACCAGACTTCAATAAGATTGATGGCTACAAGTAGGCTTCAGAATTCATAAGACAACAATGGGCTGAGATGTAATGAAGTTTGCAGTTTGCATTGTCATAAAACAGGGTTTTTGTGAAGTTTTAAAGATTCTCAAGTATTTCACTGGATTTTCTGCATGTTACAGAAAAGCAGAGACGATGATGGTCCTTAACCACTTCGGACCGGGGCATTTTTCAACGTTGAGGATGCTGGGCCGGCATGACTATCATTTTTTCCGTTTGAAAATCCTTCAACAATTCATCA